AAATAGTAAACACGATTCTTCATAAGATAGATCTCAAAATATTGCCCCTCTCATTATATGAATAAATAACACAAGTCCAAACGTGTCGTTCACAGTGGCCGCGCGGTCTGAGACATGAACTGTCTTCGCTATCTCGAACACTGGGATCTTGAGTTCGAATTCCACTCAAGGCATGGATATTTATGTGTGCGTTTGTGTTGTGCTGTGTGTAGGTATCGGCCTTGCGAGGGGATGATCACTCGTCCAAGGGTTCTACTATCTGTGTAAAAAGAAAAGAGAGATTACGAAAGTGATGAAGAGGCCAAGGCTCAACAAACGGCTGTAGAATCATTGATGAAAGAATGAATGAAGAAGTCCAAATGTAACCAGTTTAACAAGATAAATGAAAAGTTTTGCCTTTACAAGTTGCGGCCACTTTTGGCCTGCATCAACAGATGTGTTCAACAATATAAAGAACCATTATTTTTCCCCTTGGCACTACAGCCCCAGTGGGACTAGGCCTACCTCCATGAACTTCTCCGTTCACTTCGGTTTTTCTAAATCTTACACATTCGTTAGGACTCCTTGGGAGGGTGATCAGCTCTTCGCAAGGCCTCTACCTGTACACAAACACAAAAAAACGCACGCACACAAACTAAACATCCATGCCCTGAGTGGGATTTTAACCCACGATCCCGGCTTCCAAGCGAGCGAAGACAGTTCATGCCTTAGACCGCTCGGCTACCGTGACCGGCAAAGAACCATTTTACGTAAGTTAATTGAACACAATTTGTCACTATACTGTGAAGAGGGCACAACTCAAGAGAGGATGTTAATTTCTCCTGTTAAATTAGTTAAATTTGCTGGACTCTAGCTCTGTATTTACACTCTAAACACGACTTTGAGCCCCTCGTTTCACTGTGGCTGAATCATACGAACCAGAGAGCGACACGCACAGCGTCCATATTCCCCCGTGCATCGGGATAAGGAACACGGCCACCTCGTCTTGCTCCTGCTCGCTGCCCGTTGTCACGCCGCCGTCCGTGCCCTCCTTCGTCTTAGGATGTTTCCTTAGACCATCCTCGTTCGTGTAAACAATCCTGCCAACCTGTCCATCCAGTAACCACTCGAGCATCCATTTCACCTTAGTAGCGTTCTTCTGTCTAACTGCTATATCGTCCAGCTTGCCGCGGTCCCACATTACATGCTCCCAATGGTCTGTCATAATAGCGCCACACAGCATCGCCGTCGCGACGCTGGAAAATAGAAGGGTCCCCGTAAGGAACCAGACGCTTGGTTGCATTCTACACAGATTCTGATTCGATTCCATGTGCAAACGATATTTTCTTTCACTTGTTTTTATTATTCGATATTAAATTATAATATTTTCTCTCGTATTCATGGGATCTTTATCTTGATTTAAAATCACATTTCAGGATAATTTTAAAACACTCTTTTTACGCTAATTATTTTAAGAGTTTTTGTTATAATGATAATGAGACAGTGAAAGGGTTTACGCGACTCACAATGTCAGTATTGAGCACTTTCTTTGTTTGTAAAAATAAATAAAACTCTCGGTTTCATTCCTGAATCTCTTTTCACTTTCACACCCAACGTCACAATATTTCCTTGTATTCCTAAGATTCTTCTTTAAGAGATGGGTTGGATAGTTTTGTTATTTTTACTTAAAATTTCTGTGTATTCTGTCACTATATTCATAACAGCTTGCCACTGTGACCCTTTGTTACGTCAGACGCGTTCACGTGATACTGTCGCGGATTTCTTACAAGAGTTTATATAACCTTCTCTTCACCGGCTTAAAATACACAAAATTAATTAAAACAGATCAGAATAATCAATCTTACTTGTGCGTATATTTTAAATTAAAAGTGTAATTTAGATCACTTTACGTCATAATTATTCTTGTTAAATGTGTCGTAATTTCTTCCATCTCCATGGGTGGGTTTGCTGTATACAGGCGTCCAGTGACGACAGGATGGCGCCCCTGTAATTGGCACGTCACGTTACTCTGATGATGTCCCGTTGGCAAGTAGAGAGATATTGAGAAACTAGCTCAGGGCAGGAGTGTTACGGTACTGAGGGAAGGGAGACTATTGCGCAGGGATGTTTGCCGCCCTAGCGACTGCTGAGCCCTCCTGCTTCATTCTCGCTCTCCATCGGAATCGCTTTCGTGCCGACAAATGCAGTTCCCCAACCCCAAAAATTATTTTATCTTACTCACTCTGTTTCTCCTCATATGCTTCCGCAAATGACTCATGTTCCCTCCTCCTCTTTATCACCATATTCTCCTTCTTTTTCGGTATTAATCAGACCTAGGTGACTGGCCAGGCGAGAAAGATTTATAACGCCCAGCTATATAGGCAAAATCTCTGTCATACTTGTCCGACGGATAGTCAAGTATTTGTTACAGGCATTTCTGAAGTGTGTGAGAGTTTTAAGGATGGGGTATCGAAAATACTTTACAGCCATTACGGTTTCCCGAGAAAAAAAAAAAAGCATTATCAGCCTACAGTCAAAATGTCAGTAAATTCCTTAAATCTGAGGGGACATTTATACAGAGAAGTAGATTTTCTGACGATGGTGTATAATACTCAGAATTAATGGGTTTTAGAACTCTGCCCATTGTTCTGTATTCTATAAACTAGAAAACACGACGTTTCGGAAAGTAGATCTGTTTCCGTCCTCAGGTGAGGGAGTAGATACCTACATTGTTGGGACCCTTAGAAAGAGTGATTGAGTTTGGCTGTCTTTAAGGGACCCAACTGAGTAGGTGTCTTCCCCCCTCACCTGAGGACGGAAAAAGATCCAATTTCCGAAGCGTTGTGTTTTCTAGTTTCTAGAATACCGGACGATGGACAAAGTAATTCTAAGTATTTATAAAGACATTCTCATAACACATGTCCCGATCTATTTTAGTTTTAAAATTCTTACAGAACTGATACAACACGGTACGTCCTGAGGTACAGTTGCAAATATACAGAAGAGCCTCGGTTTTCCATTTAATCTCTTTGTAGTTTATTTACCGACGCTGTCGGGATCTCAGGCTCCGAATTCATTAATTCATCAGTAATCTGTCAAGACGACAGCTCCACAGTCTCTTCCAAAACAGTTCCTCCACTTAATGCGATCTAGAGCTTTCTCCTTCAAATGAGAATATCCTCTTCTGCCCCCAAGGTCATCCAGCATCTTCTTACATCTTCTTCATCGTCTTCTTGTCACTTCTATCCGCCCATCTATCTTTCCTTCAATAACTTTTCCGAATTATTGGATAAAAATTAATAATGAATTAAAAAGAATGCAGAAGGCATCGGTTGCGGCTTAATTTAAGGCAATATCAGTACGCTTTCCTGGATGGATTGAGTAAGACCACGAAAGGACTCAGAACATTCCATATTCTGGCCGAGATTCGAACTCTACATCATCAGATATAAGACACAAGCGCTACTTAGGCGAACTTGCTTGGTCTCTGAAATTCCTTACTAATTTTTCCTTTTTAGAACTTATTTTATGAAGCATATCCGATGCATTTAAGATCAAAATCAGAGAATGCAACTCGCATATTACGTGTGTGTGTGTGTGTGTGTATGTGAGCGCGTGTGGAAGGGGGTTGCTTTGTCTAAACTACTATTATTCAAATGTTGGATTATTTATTTCTGAGAAAAATTGGCTTGGCAATAGGCATAACATTTGGAAAAAGAACATTTTCTCGGTGCCTCGTTTCACCCAGCGATGGCACTCTGTTTCTTCTCGATTCGTGGAGCATGTTTCCAGTTCAGAGACAACCAGCCAACCCAAGCCACAGTTTTCGTGTTATAACGAAATAACAGGTTGCTTCTTTTGGTTCATTTTGACTTAGTTCAGAACCCGTGCGCTACTAAGACGTGTTTCATACAATTATTGGCGGCCTTCTTTTTGTTCAACAGTCAGCAGTGAATCAGAATTTCTTTTCTGGCATGGATCGCATTGCCACGCAACCTTGATTTCAATTCATAGAGGATGCCCTGTACGTGATATGTTCGTAAGTATGTTTCTGGGTGTGTACGTTGGGTTACGTACCCACATAGTTTGATACATTATTGCGATCGAATGTTGAAAAGAAGAAAAGCTTCTTGCCGAGTACGACTCCAACCTCAGGTCTGCGTTGCATAATAATGCCCTTGACGGAAATGTGTGTGTGCATCACATTCCTACAGCGAAACGGATTCAATGATATGAAAACACAGAAGTTCAGGACAAGAGGAAGTAGTGCTTGGTCAACTTTTGTTCCACCAAGAGTCCAGCTTCACCCCTCTCAGTGAATAAGTTCAGTGCCCAGCGAGTTGTGCGTTTTTACGAGTATAGAAGATGCAAGAATTCGTATAAAACCATAGTAATTTTCTTTTGTTATAAAATATTGTGACATATTTGTTGAAAGCCAGGACACATTGTTAGGCAGTAACGTGTTTCCCGACAGCCGTGTTGTTACACAACAATGTAGCAACTCCGAGAAGCGGTGTTTTCTATGCGATTCGCCTTAACTGGCACGTCATGCTGCAGCAGAGAGACTACAAGAAGTGTTTTCTCTGGAGTCCGGCCGGAGGCTAAATCTGGAGAATCGAAACAAGTGACTTTGACTAAGCTACAGAACCAGGTCATGATCAGCTGTGTAAAACCTAGCCTGACAGAGGCCTTATATATATTGTACATACATATATTCTATAGTTACATGTAAAACTATAAATAATAGGTACCCACAAGGAGCCGGGCTCTTGACAACTGGCTGTGTCGATTGCAGATATACAAATTTATGAATATAGTTTCCATATACTACTGATTATGGCCGCTCTAAATGACAGACCCGTCCTCTCTTCAGAGAGGGCACCCCATATCGAAAAATAAAAATTGCAAAATGTAACAAAAATCTGATCTTGGGCCCCAGATGGGGCTTGACACCAGGACTAACTAGACGACTGACCAATAATCGTAACGTGACTTTGAATTTTACCTAAGCTGAGCGCTAACGATGAGCTCGGTGAGCTGTGGAGTTTGAGTGGTGACTTGCGAAGACATACCACTCATAATAACGCTTTCTCGGATATAAGGAATTGTGCTCCTGATGAAACAGAAATAACTTGTAGAGTACATAGATTAGCAAATAAATCACAGCTTTATAGTATATTTATTGTTATTTTGAATCGTTAGCACAGCATAGAAATACTCGTCTCAGATAAGGCAATGAATAGGTGGGAGTCTAAACCGTGCTGTGGTTGAGAGAGGTGGCTCATGCTGCACTGTCACAAGGTGAGACATCCTGGTGGGCTGTGCTCACCTAATTCCATCAGAGGTATAAAAAATTAATAGCGGACCCTCTGGATGTGAAGAAGGATATTGATCCAGTGCGAGCTTTTGTAGTTCAAGTAGAGCAGCTTGTCCAAATTTTGCCGAAATGAATACAATGACGCCAAATGGAAACAAGTGGGCAGAGCTGAAGAAGACAGGCACACCGTCTGCAAGTATCTGAATGTATAAACACTATTTCCGGAATATCTCACATGTATGCAGCAACAAGTAAATGAGAAGACAGTCTTCAGCCGAGCAGCAGGAATCGGGACATAAATATATTAAACAAACAGAAAAAAATGGCGAAAGAGAGACAGAAACTATGAAGCTGAGTGTTGCACCAAGAAACAAAAGAATCTACCTCCGGCTTACTAAAACCTACGGCAAGTTGCGCCACTAAAGGATTTAACTATAGAAAACGTAGAGCCGGGCAGCGAAGGAAGCTCCTTTAAAACACCTTCCGAGCAAAGATAGGTCAACATAATTAGTTACCAGAGAGTACTAAATATTGTCGTGAGGGGGGAGTCCTTCTGGAACACTACAGCAAGAATCCGGATCACAACTAAAAGTATGGTGGGCTACAACGCCGTACAAAAATTCCTAACTGAGAAAACCTTCCACTTCTTTACATTTTACACGAAGGCGGATAAACCTGCTAGAGCCTTTATTTGACATTTGCCTGGCAATACTTCTGTAGAGGGCATCACTGTGGCCATCCAAACGGTGCACAGACCCTTGTTTCTACTCAGAGGAGAAGACGTAGGTCTGAGCATGCATGAGGGACACATTTCTTAACTGCTACGGCAGTTCCGCCTTTGTTCTCGTCTTGACAATAACTCCGATAAATATCATATTTTGGAATGTAGAACCTCATATGAAGCTTCAAGTGTGTCTCTGAAAAGAGGGCCGCGTCATATAACATGGTTTAGCATCCAGACGTGACGTTACACTTCAAAGTGGAATGTTCAAGATTGACAACGATATAAAATCAAAATCCACACTTAACCGTCTAGTAGATTATACGTTGCTAGTAACGAATAACTTTTGAATATCCACCGGTGTTCTCATTGGTTCAGAGAGATGAATATGTGACGTCTTTCGTCAATAATTGGAACGATTTCTGTATGGTTCGAGTACACGTAGTTCATAGCCCTCGGCGTTTCCGTCTAGATGGCAGAGTATATACTGGCTGCCCCGCCACCTGCTGATGTTTCCTATAACTTTACGGCCTTTACGGCTAACCATGCCGATCTATGCTGCAGACCGCTGCAGACCATGTCAGACGATATCAAACATGGTCTCTCAAAGTGTAACAGTACCGAGTTGTAAATATGCAAAATTATTGAAATATAACAACGAAGTGTAATGTTTTTAAGCTTAAAATTTCATATTGAAAGTTTTTGGTTGAGAATACAATGAATAATTAAAGATTCCGGCTTTTCAACGTAGAAGACCGTACTCTTCAGTATTGAAAGAAGTGACATCGTTTGTTGGGTACGGTTTATGAGAAAGCAGTGTGTCGGATGAGTTGCATACCTTGTAGGGTGAATGTTTGGTGTTTCAGATCTTTCAGATGTTGTTATTTGCATAGTACATTAAAATGAGTTAATTTCGCCAGTTGTCTGTATTGTTTATGAAATGTAGCTGTGAGATATCGAGAAATGGTTTGATTTGTTTGAGTTCAATTTTTCTTGCAGGTATTGTCTTTCATTTTTTTAATGATTTTAATCGTTAATAAAATAGATTTCAGTCGTGTTTGTAATTGTGATTGTATCATACATATTTATGTACCATTCTAATTGAGTTTTATCAGTTATGATAAGGAGTACGTGTAAATGTAACGTATTTATATTAGTGGGAGGATATGTGCTTTGATATTTGGTTATGTGTTCGTAAAATTCATTAACATTACAATTCTCGTAGGGATCCTTAAGAAAGAAAATGAGATTCCAATTGTAATAGATATAAGCAATTTTCAGTAATCTATTCATTTTATTTTTGTTCTTTAGGCAAGAATGTCATTATATTTCGACTCAAAGGTGCAGAGTCCAGATCTTGGGTGTATCAATATCAACTTGGAATGGCATGAAACTCATCCTCTTCTAGCAGTTTCATCCTACAGTCAGGACAGAGGTGGCTTTGTCACCATTTATGACGAACTGGTATTAAAATAATATTAATATTTTCCACAGTGCATAATGAAGTATAAAACAAATTCCTCCAAAACATTTGTAATCACCTACCAGTCTACACGATATAATAATCGAGAAGACCACACTCTAGATTTGTTACTGCATTATAGTGTGTCCACGTTATTCTAGGGAGAGCCCTTGCCAGATGTCCTGTGGCCACAGCACCCAGTTGCCCAAGTGACTGCACTGGCATGGCATCCAACAAAGAAACTTCTTGTAACAGGCTGGGAGAATGGGGAATTGCGAGTCTGGGCAGGAGATCCAGAGTTCATATCGGTGCAGTCTGTTCATCAGACACCAATTACAATACTACAGTGGAGTACCCTTGGTGGACGCCTTGTGTCAGGAGATGCAGTGCGTATTACAATATGTGAACCGCAGCATCCAGCCATCAAATGCCTAGAATGACAAAGTTTTCTTTTTTGCTGTGTAATTCTAAGTTACAGATTTTGTGATAAAATCAATATTTCTAATTGCTTACAATTTTATAATTTGAGAAATTTGATACAAAAGTTTAGTTTTATTGCCATCTTTATGCACGTATTGGCCACAGCCTTGTTTTATGTAAGAAAATTTGGTACCTTCATTTGTCACTAAAAATTTCTGTGGAGTTTTCTCACCTTTCAGCTAATGACAGCTTCAGATTTTATGTATAGCTAATGATTGACACATCTTTGGCACAGTTTATACTATGAAGAATGCCATCTTCTGGGATATGGCAACATTTAGCTTTTGTGTTAACTGACGTTTTGGGGGAACATCAGTTTACATGAGATCTACACAGTGCCACATCCCAGAATATGGCATTCTTCATAGTCACTGCCGTGAAAACCTCAAATCTTACATAGTTTGCACTATATTTAGAAGTCATCCCTTTCACTTTCTGTGATTTGCCCAGTTGCAATCATGTTTTTATTATCTGCAGTAATGCAAGTGAAGCATGTGTAGCATGTGTGCACAATGTCTTTAAGTACGGAATTTTAATTGAGCATCAGTTTGATCATCCAAAAAAAATATATATATATTTGGAACTCTGAAGAGACTGGAAGCATTTCTCATGAAAACGCATATGTGTTATGGTAAATGTGAACAAACTGGTAATTATGAATATTAACCAGTAATTACATAGAATTACCATAAACGATGGTTAATGTGATAAATCTTATGACAGTGATCACTTTTACGAGTAATTATGAATAATTTCACAACTTACAGACTGTATATTAAAAGAAATATGATGTAAAGATGCGTAACCCATTATCTGTTATGTAACAGAATAGTTTGTATCATGGTACAGTGTATTAGATTTACCACTGGTTACTAAAATACGTAAAGTAGGCCATAATCAAATGAAATATTTATAACATGTATTGTAAAATGCTGTTTATTACGTTTACTGGTGGACACTGATAATTGTGAATAATAACCAGTAATTATTCATGCAAGTAATTACCAGTAAATGTAATTATTGTCATTAGTTTTATCACATTCACAACTGTTATTAGTTATTATATGTAATTAGTGGTTATTATTATTATTATTTATGAAATATTGGTTGTAAGTCAACATGGCAAAAAGGCAGAACTTTGATAGTGTAACCAGTAAATTTAACATTGACATAATCTGCACTTAAGTAATAAGCTGTTCAAAAGAATAAAATAACGGTAACAATGGTAACAGATCTATAGGACTAAAAACATATTCAGTAGAAATTTATACTTTATGAACTCTCAGAACTTCTTGTTTAATGTATAATATCTTGTGATATTCTCCCTAGGCTGGATCGCTTGTTGGTTCAAAGGTGGATTCCCGTGGCCATATCCTGACAGTCTTCCACCATGAGCTAAAGGAACCGCTAACACACATTGCATTCCGACAGAATGCAAAGCACACAACTCAGGGGTTAGACATGAAGTAAGTTAATGTCATACCAGTTACGTACTGAGTGCTCATTTGTCTTGGCTGCTTGGTTCTGCATAGCGATTTCAGGCTAAAATAGTAAGGGGGAGGGGGGTTGTTTCTGCTTGACAATAATGATAAGGACTGTGTGATGCACTTTAACAAAAGGACCTGACTGTATCTGATTCTCACACATGTCTAAGCTCATTAAATCCACATGCTCCTCCAATCCGTAACCACTGGTAATGAATTCATGAGTTGACATTTGCCACTTATAAATGGACAGTGTATAAATTAGAATTTCCATTTAAAGTTTGTTTGGGAGTGGTGAATTTGAACACCAAGCCATGAGAAATGCCCTCCTGCAAAGCAGGCTCTTTGCCACAAAATCTGAAATCTAACCTCCAAGAGGTGGCCTTGGGTGCATTCCATGGTGACAGCATGGAGTGTAACAGATGAGTGGAAGGTGAAGGGCTACTGTCTGGCTTCCTGAAATGGGACTATTTGGCTAAGGGAGTAAACCCTGACAGAAAATCTATGGTCACCCAATAGGTTGGTGTACTGGGCTTGAGGTGGTGACAGTAGCAGCAGCAGCAGTAGTATTTGAACACCAAACTGAGGAAGATAGTAAGTTGAAGAAATAAAGCCCTGAGAATATTGACTTAATGGATTTATTAGCTTTTATTTATCCTTTGAAATTGGTGATGATAGTTTATAAACTAAGGCAAAGGTAAAGTTGTGCCTCTGCTTAACTAATTAAGTACTACACCGTGAAGGCATATAGGGGAGTGGATGTGTAGATCCACATTTCCTTGACCTCGGCTCTAGTTGGAGGTGAGTCGTCACCTTCACGCCCCTGCCGCTTTACTGCCGGGGAAANTTTATTAGCTTTTATTTATCCTTTGAAATTGGTGATGATAGTTTATGAACTAAGGCAAAGGTAAAGTTGTCCCTCTGCGTAACTAATTAAGTACTACACCGTGAAGGCATATGGGGGAGTGGATGTCTAGATCCACATTTCCTTGACCTTGGCTGTAGTTGGAGGTGAGTCGTCACCTTCACGCCCCTGCCGCTTTACCTCCGGGGAAGGAGCCCCTGGTGCCCATTGGATAGTAGGTTGGGTGGACCCCAGAGCCGGTCTGAACGACTTGAGGAAGAGAAATTTCTTGCCCGCACTAGGACTCGAATTCCAACCCGTCAGTTATCCAGCCTGTAGCCCATTGCTGTAAGTTACTAATTCTGTGGTTTACGGTCTTGTATGAGCAATTGGAAAATATTCAGTTGATGAAGAAATTATTGGATTTTATGGAACCCAAAACCTCATTGCCATGTTCATGAAAACAGTACATAAAACACTACCTTGTACTGATTTNAGGGGGCATGCGGTAGCGTAGTTGGTTGAAGGGCTATGCTACAAGCCAGAAGGTTGCAGGTTCAAGTCCCGATGACTTCATTGAATTTTTTTCAGTTGACCTAATTCTTCCAGCT